CATCCTGGTGCGAGGTAAGAGGACGGCTCGCGGCCCTGGGCCACCGGACCCCACCCTACCTCGACGGGGTCTCCGATCTTCCCGCCGGCTCCCCTCCCAGTGCATACATTCAGTCAGTCGTTCCGTCAGTCAGTAAATATTATTTCGAGTGTCTGTCGTGCGCTGGACATGACAGGAGTGCAAGGGACAAAGCGGCGGACGGGATGGAAGAGATAGAGGTGGGAGGGTGGACTCCACCCTGCATTCCTGGCGGCAGGTGAGCTGCCCGGCCTCCCGCCCAGCCCTGTTTCCCGTCCCCAGCGACGCAGACCGCTCAGTAGCTCCCAGGAGAGGCACAAGGATTGGGGAATGCCTCTCGCAGCGCTTGCCCGCCTGGGCTACGTTCTCTTGGTTTCCACTTCCTTACGGCGCCTGGGCCCAGCCGCTGTCCGTGAGGCCCTTTCCGGGCCTGATCTGCCCCTTTCTCCCTCGCCCTTCTCCCTCCTCTCTTCTTTCCGGGCCATTTCTCCCTGCCCAGCTCGCCTTCTCAGCTTTCTTCCTGCAAGCGCCTCTGGGCTGCACCCGAGTTCCCAGCTCTCCCTAGCTTCTCCCTGGCCTTCCGACCCTCCGGGCAGCCTCAAGCGAAACTCTAGGCCCAGCTTTCGCTGGACCCGGGCTTCGCCCAGAGAGAGGAGAGGAGAAAGGGAATTCTGGCGTCTTGCTGTTAGCCGGTTTCTAGGCCTCCGTCAGAGCCTGAGGTCTGTTTTCCCCAGCATCTCAGAACCCCCGGGGACCGGAAACCCACAGCCCAGAAGAGGCAATTTGTGGGTAATGGTTCCCCCTGGCTTCCTTCTCCAACTCTCTGGCCTAGCGTCCCTCTGCTGCCTTTGTCCAGCCCCTTCTTTCCTAGCACACCATCCCGCCTGTGAGGTCCTCTGGAGTGTCCCAGCCCACTGCCTGGGAAGGGGAAGTAGCTGACTCTAGCTAGAGGTCGCTCTAGGTCCAGGATCCTGAGTTTTGTCTGATCTGAGCTGGGCTATCCACACACAGACTGGGACACCTTGGCCTAGTTAACCCCCCCCCCCCGCCCCCGCAACACACACACACAGACACACACAGCTGCTGGGTTTGGGTGGCTCTGGGAATGGGGGACAGGGCTAGAGCATGGAGAAAGTCCAGTGCGAAGGGGCCCTGGTCTGGGGAAACACTCCTGGTATCAGGTGTGATCACCTAAAGATGGGGTACCCAGTGCCATTCTTGGGGCAGGCTTGAGTTACAGGACAGGGCATGGGTGTCCTCCCCATCCCGCTGGGATCCCAACAGGTGTATGGACCTATTGAACACCTGGGATTAAATTAGATGGGTGCCATTCCGTAGACTGAGGGGTGTCCTGGGTGCAATACTCTCATATTAAGGCCCTCAAGTGACACCACCTCACACCCCATCTATGGCTGGGCATTTCCTCTGCCTGGACAATTGTGAGTTCTGTGGAGTGCAAGACATCCAAGCTAGGAATAATCCACATCCAGACAGAGCTGGACTTTGTGCATGGGCAGGGTGTACTTTTATAAATGCATATATGCACATACAGCGATGCCATTACATTTGCACAATAGAATGGAAATATACCATTGAATGTGTATTCACACACCTAAAAGAAATAAAAGGTACACAGGGCCCTCATAAATCCCTCTGTCCTTTCCTGTTCAGTAACAAGGAGGTTATTATAGGCCTGAGATAGTCGGTAGGTCATGTACCACTAATCCCTCCTAGCCAGGGTCACCTGCGTCACTCCAGGCCCTCCTGGGGCCCAGAGCAGAGGCTCTGACGAGTGAAAGGCTCAGCATTAGTGCAGGGAAGCCAGCGGTGTCTTAGCTCCAAGATGAATGCCCCTCCACATGCTCTAAGCAGAGCGTACGTTTTGCCCTTGACACATCCTAAGTATCTTTAGAGCAGTGGTTCCCAACCTTGGCTGCACATTAGAATCACCTGGGAATCTTTATAAAATCCTGATTCCTGGGCCTTGTCCTCCGGAAATTCTGTTTCTTTGTTACTAATGTTGTGGGCCCCACCCCATAACAAAGAAACAGAATTCCAGCCAAGGTTGAGAACCACTGCTTTAGAGGAAACCAAAAAAAAGGTCAGATTGGAGGCATTTACCATCACAGTCTTCAGGATGCTGGTGGGCCGAGGATTCTGGGAAAGAGCCCATCCTCTCTTGGCATTCCTTTCTTTCTCCCCCTTCTCCGCTCTGCACTTGCTCCCCGGAGGTTCCCCATCCCAAGGTAGCAAATCTTTTGGGGGAGTCCCATGACACAGGAGAGGAAGAGGGGGTGCTGGAATTAAGAGAAGTTGGTTTGTAATACTAGCCTTACAGCCTTTTGCATTTGAACCAGTTTCTTTGCCCCTTCATACCTCAGTTTCCTCATCTGTACAAGGAGACCCTTAGGGCTTACCTTGAAGGGCTGTGCTCAGGGTCAGAGTGGTGTCCATAAAACTGCAAACACGCAGCAGAATCTGCAGAAATGTTCCGTGGAGTGAAAACTGGGAAGCCGGGAGATGACCCACAAACCACTTCTGGTAAAGGGTTTCCTTCCTTCGAGGCTTCCCCCAACTCACCGGCTGTTGGGGCAGCGTCTCCTTTGTGCTCAGGGCCAACCGTGTTTGTTTGGAGGTGAGCAGCCAAGGGGTGAAGAACTGGCTGATGTAGAGAGGATCGGGGACTCCTTGCAGACCACGCTTGCAGCCCCGACCCCAAACCCCTCCAGGGACCCTCGCTCAGCCAATCACTCAAGCTTCTGGCTGCCTCTGGGGAAAGCGGTCCGGGGACAGGGAGAGGGACCTTCCTGCTTCCCCCGCCTCAACATGGAGGCCGCTTTATGCCTCACCAGGGCCAAACAAGGCTGCTGGGATAACGCGTGTGCACACAACAGGAACCCGGCACACCCACTGCCCACACAGCCAGGCTTCCGCAGGGACCCTACAGCTCTGCAGGGCTCCCTACACCTCTGTGTGAACGCCCCCCCCGCCCCGTCTGCCGAGGGGTTGGGATGGGGATCCTTTTGTTTCCTATTTGCTAAGGGCGCGCCAAGCCTGGGCTGGAGACAGGGGAAGGAACGGGCTGCCTCCTGCGCGGCCTAAACCGCAAGGAGCAGCTGCGGGGCAAAGGCCTTTTCGGTGGACCCGGGATCCCCCGCAGTCGCAAGGAGTGGGGCAACTCTCACCCGAAACTCCCTGCAACCTCACCATCTAGGCTCGCACCGCACGCTCAGACGCGCCCACGGGATGCCCAGGTCACCCCCAGATGAATTCCACAGCCCGCCTGGACAGAGCCTGGAATGGCCGCGGGCCGGCGTCACCGAAACAAAGCCTGGTCCGGTCCCTACTCACCCAAAGCGATCCCCCCGAGTCTCAAAAATCCAGTCCTGCCGGCTGCACCCTCCGCCGCAGCTCTGTGCTGCCACCTGGCCCCAGGCCCCATGGGGTAGGACTCAGCGCTGCCCTAAGAGCGCTCCCCCAACCGAGACCCGAGGCGCTCCCCCCTGGCTCAGCACCCCGACTGGGAGGAGGAGGACAGGGAAACTGCTGGACCCCGCGACTAAGTGAGTGTCTGCCAGCCACGCCGCCCCAACCCCACCACCCATAGCCGAGCTGCTCTCACTGGGGGGCCGGGTGGATACGCCCAGCTCAGTGGCTGGGGACCGGGAGGCGCAGGAAGGCCAGGGCCACGGGCTGCGCCGGGGACGCAAGTCCCGCTGTGGATGTGAACGTGGGGAAAGCGGGCATTGATCTTAACGGGGCCCGGCCCCACTGAGATCCCGGGGACAGTGCTGGATCCGCGCTCCAGATCACGCCCATCGGAGCGTTTACCGACGGCAGAATGGCGAGCCCGCAGGACCGTGGATGCTACAGACGCGCCGAAGACGCCCGGGCAGGTGCCCGGCTTCGGGGCTTGAGCGGGGAGTGGCCTGCGGGACCCCCTCCACCCGCAGCCAAGTCTGTTCTAAGCTGGCCAGCGTCCCCTTGCTCTGTGCTCGGACTCACAACAGCCACTGCACCGAGGGGCTCCCCGGACTCTCCGAAGGACTCACCAACAAGGGCACACAGATAAGCCAGGGCCAGCGGCCCAGGCAGCCGCTGCAATGTTTAAATGGTTCATGCAGAGACTACACTTTTGGGTTTTTATTTTAATTTTTAGTTTTGGGGTTGGTGCGCGTTAGAGTGTTTTATTTTCCTGGGATTACTTTGTTTTGTTTATTATGTTTTTCCTTTTGCTTTGTTTGCGTTTGGCAGAAGGGCCCACATTCTCACTGAGGAACTATACTGGGTTCTATCATTTTGATCTTTATTTTCCCTTTATATACACACTCAGTGGCCAGATTATTATGACCACTCCATCAGTACTTCATTGACACTTCCAAAAATACTGAATATTGAAAACTTCCTAAGCAAATACTCTCAAGATTCTATTATTATTATTATTTGCATAACTAATTCACTTCATTGTTCTGATGGGGTGGTCATAATAATCTGGCACTGAGTGTATATGCTGTTATAACCCCGCCCCTCCACACACACACACACACACACACACACACACTTGCACACATAAACAGACCAGCAACCAAATGTATTGTCTGAGGGGGTGTGTCTGTGTAGATAGAATGTTTTCATTATCAAGGAACTGTTCTGGGCGTTGGGCCACTCCTTGTGTTCTCATGCCAGTTCCACCGCCCTGGGTGGACATTTGGATTAGGAGGCCCTGGACCCACTACTGCCTCTTCTCTCTCTCTCTCTCTCTCTCTCTCTCTCTCTCTCTCTCTCTCTCTTCCCTGGGCCTAAGCTGACAAACAAATTTGAGTTTTCACCCTCTGCTCATCACCTGTAGGGAGAGAAGGCCTCTAAGGGTCTTAGTGGCTCTATGTCATTTCCTCAGTTACCCTCTACTGGAGCCTGGGGCCTTAGTAGCCCTAAGCTCCCCACTCTGTTTGCCAAATTTCCTTGATTTGTATTTTCAGTGGGTGGGGGCATGGGA